TTGGAAGTAGCTTTCTTAAACATGTTTTCTGTACTCACACTGAAGGATTTCCAGGCATATTTGGAGTCCAACGGGTAATTTGGCATGCCCACATGCCGTAGAATCATTATCCGGACATTACATAGTTATACCGCAAATATACCAAAGGGAAGAGGAGGGAAAAATTCCTCAGGAGTTACTTGTTCTATCCTTATTGTCAAACTGACTTTTAGAATTAACATATATCTCATATATCATGTATGGGTGGTTAAAAGGATTTAAATTTAAACAATAAAGTAAACATTCCCTCTCTAAACCTCTTTTTTTATTACCCACGCAGTTTACCGGAGTTTTGTTCCGACTACATCGGGATCTGACCCGCGTCGCACACCTGGCTGTGGTGGGTGAGTCTCCCAACGGGGATTTCTGCATACGCTGAGGCTCAAACTTAAGACCTCACTTAAACGATACCAAGCCGCTTACCACCTAAGCCAACTCCTGTTGGTAAACCCATGTATTTTGATATTCATATAATAACCCCACTTGTATTGGGCTTGGGTCTTAATCTCCCAAAGGTGGATTAGGTCTAACCCAATACATATGAATTTGAATTTGGGACCTCATACTTAAACGACCAAATTCCACTAGAACTAAAACTCATTTATTTATCTGATTGTTTTTGTTCAAGAGAAGCTCTTAAGTATAAGCTTAGGTTGCTAATCACATATCATGGAACATAATTCCTTGCACCGTTGTGAGCTTTCTAGCTTCATATTGCATTGTGTGTATATGTTTATGTACGTATTGGATGTAATATTTGCCATTGAAGTCCTATCTCACCCTATTTCTGATGAGTGTTAATATGAAACTTTAGAAGTTGGTAAGGAGAAAGCAATTTGAATATAATTAGTTAATTTGGAGTTTCATTGCTCTTCCCTTTCACTTTTTATCTCCACCATCATATCGATATTTGAACAGTTCAAATTTAATTTTTTATAAAATTAATAATAAAATGTTAACATTAATTAATTAAGTGTTGTTAAAATGGCCGAAGGCTGTAGGATGTTTTGCATATGACTCTTTAGTAGATTCACATTGTCATTGTTTTGAAAGTCTATAGGATGATGACTTTGAATTGTGTATCCTTTTTTTTTTTTAATTACCCAGAATATCCTCCCACCCGAATAGTAAGAGACTAATCTCTCGGGGTACTGTCAGGCGCTATAATGGGGACCCCTCGCAATAATATTTTTTTCATACACACCGCCCTAAAGATCAAACTCAGGACATGATATTTAAGGTGTTTAAGTCCTTTCTACTTGAACTAATACTTGTTGGTAAATTGTGTACCCTTATTACTTGAGTTGAGTAGGTAGCTGACTCATGGGCTCAGCTTAGTTCCTTCACGTTTGACACTCCAAGTCTTTTTGCTTGGTACATGTGGAATGCGTTTGGCGGTGATTATTGTGCGCCCAGGCCTTTGGTGCAATTGTTGTTGGGCTTATGGGCGTTCATTTGTACCATGAGTCCTATGTGATGATTGATAAGATTAAAAGTAAGTTTTTGAGACTTACCAAAAAGGAAAAGTATGTTTTTGAGAAAATTGCAACTGAGGAAAAATTATTTTCTAAATATGGTGGTGCTTTTGTTTTAGTTTTGATTTGCCTTTTTAGTAGTTTGAAATCTTTATAACTATCGTATGGCTTTTGATAAAGTGGTGGTTAAACTCTTTTTCAGCATGGTTAATTTTTTGAAATAGTTAAATGTTTTATTTTATGAGGAAAGGATTTTTCAGCAAACATTTGGCAAGAAATGGTAGTCCTGGCGCATAATGATTCTTGTATAAGAATTCCTTTATAGAACCGCCATGATAACATTTTATTCTTTCACAATAAAAAAGATTTATGACCAGTGCTAAAACTTATTCAAAAAGTTTACGGTGCGAGGAAATCAGTCACTACTATTGACAATGAATACTTTGGGTTTAATTTAAAAAAAAAAAAGATTCCTGCCATTTGAACTTGTCTTGGAAAATATTCGAGCCCTCAACATTAAGAGGCATTGAGGAATCGAGACTAGAAAAATAGCATGAGAAAAGAAAGTTGAAAAGAATGATCCACTAACACCCGATAAGCCTCGTAGCTAAGAACAACGGTAGGAAAAAGAGAGTCGAAAAACACACCAAACAAGACAAACAAGCCAAACAAGGCACAACTTTTGGATCATAGACCCACAGAAAGAAGTCAAGGCAAGAACAAAGGACAAGGCAACCGTATACAAGGCAATCAAAAAGACTCCCATCAAGCCACCTCATGAAGCCACATAGGCAACTAGAAACTCGAAAATCCACAACTCAATAAAGGAGAAGAAGCTTTTGAGAAAGCGAAAAAAGAAAAGAAGAAAAAAAAAAAAGATGACACTAAGGCCATTGAAAATTCATGCCAGATTTCTTTCAGCAGACCCACAACCCCATACTTAACTTACAAGGACTCGAAAAAGCAAATGTAAAACCAAACATCAAGCCAAAAAATAAAAAACACAGAAACAACCAGCCTTAAACGTACAAATCATTTGAAAATAGGGTTAAGGTGTAGATATGACATATTAGTCGCATTTTGATGAATCTTTAAAAGCTAAAGCTGAGAAGGATTGGACATGTTGGATTTCGTGAACGATGGAAATGAGAGAGTCACATTCTCCATGATAGAAGACATTGTTGCGCTTTCTCCATATTGTATTGGGCAAACCGCAAACATGTAATTCCACATACTCGTGAAGATGGTTTAAAATTTGAAAAGTTGATTTGAGAAGGGACTAGACAAGGGGTGTTCTAAATATTCCTCAACTTTACGTCATTATTATTTAAAAGTTTTCAGATATCGGTCAGCGATCTAAAGGAATCTCTAGAAGTGAGGTCTGAAATATTCTTCCGATTCTAAATATAAAACTCTTTTTATAGTGTAAATTACATTACAAAAAAGATCTTATATTTAAGACTAAAGGAGTATAACATTAGCATTAATCGGAGAGTACATGGTGTGAAATAGAGATGAATTCCATTAAGCAGGATTTAAGAATAAGGGACATGTAAAAAGAGAGCAACATAGTGAGGATTTAGAAACCTTTATAATAGCTTATAATAATTAATTTTTTAATCGTGATTTACAGAACATGAGGTAAGCATGAGAAGAATTTTTTCTTAACTCACATAAAATATGATTATAAGTGATTTAACAGTGTGCTAAGTAAGATCTTAATGTTGCTGCATGAACACACCGCATAAGCCATAAAAAACGGTGGCTAATAGAAACGGAAGCACCGTTTCCCACTTTGAATTTGAGATAAGTACAGCCAGAGGGTATGAATTCGAAGTAGCCAGGATCCGACAAGAAAAATGCGGGAAAACCATGATGGGACAATTGACAGATGGGGACATTAAATTTCGTCCGAAGTTGATTTGCCGACATAGGAATGATTATTCCCAAAATAATATTAATTCTGGAGCTGTTGTGGATTTATCACAATAACCGCCCAAAATATAAAAACCCAAGAATAATTCTTCAACCCATATAAAAAGAAGGTGGATAGATAAGACCATGAAGAAGAAGAAGAACTATGCTTTTAGGAGATGTGATTAATAATCATCATTTTTTTTTCCTTAGGAGCTAGGATAAATACTACCGGTTTAAGGTTACCAGTAGATTGATTATGACCTTCCATTCACAAAAAACATTTCATCTCACTAAGTTACAAGAGACTAAACAATTAATAATCATCATTTAGGGGTTGTTTAGTATCAGATAAAAGTGTTTTTAAAAAGCACTTTTTCACAAATCGAGACAAATTCTTTCGTATATTTATTTCGTATACCGTAAAATCACTTTTAAAACTATACTTTGATTTCTGTCTAAATATCCCTTTCAATGCTAATTTGTTATGTGCTTTTGGTCATTGCTTGAAACATATGTGATATGGCTAATTAAGAGTTAGTGAATTGGCTTTCTTATTTGGTTAGAGATTCTAACTGTGAATATGACCATCTTATTGCTCAATATGTGATTGTGTTGCTTTACTTGATTTGGTGGAAGAGAAATGAAGCAATTAACAAATAAAAATGGTTCCGCAGCTAATTATCTAACCTTCGCACAACCCTTTATCCTAGAAGTGATAAGCAAAATACAACGGCCACATATCTGACATCATTTTATAGTTTTATTTTTTTTCCCATTAATAAGATCTACAGTTTTCATGTGTTAGATGTAATTAAAAAATCACATCAGAAAAATGTCTGAAAAAAATAATATTATAATATTAGATATACTATAAATAAGATTAGAATATAAGATATATATGAGAAATAACATTAAGGTGTTGGATATTATTTCTCTCTATATTTTTCTCACTTAAATTTACACTTAATACTCTTCCGGTCGTAAATATAAAATCCATTTTGTAGTGTAAATTATACTATAAAATGGGTTTTATATTTAAAACCAGAGGAGTATATTTTATCCAAATAAAAATATTAATATATGGGGTACTACTTCCGGTCTTAATTATAAGAGCTAGTTGACTAATTTGAGGAGATTAAGAAAGTAAGTTGAGTTAGTTATTTGTCATAAATATAGGTGTTGTCTTTCCTAAAATATCCTTGCTAATCAAGTGTATTGATTAGAACTCTTATTATTAGAAGGACTATTTTGAAAAAAATATATAAATATAAAAAACAAAATAAATTGAGATCTTATATTTAAAATCAAAATAAAAATTAAATAAAATTTTATATTAGTAACGCGAGCTATTATCATGTGTATTTCTTTTACCGTGCAAATATGTCTCAATCCTTCAAACTTTTTCTAATGGAAAGGTCAATATCAATACTTATCGTGGCCAAGTCTACAACTAAAAATGTCAACGGTTTCATGTCGGCCAAGTTTTAAAATAAATAAAAAATTTTGAAGTCCCGAGCGCCTCATCGAATTCCGGCACTTGGGACAAGGCAAAAGGCTGCGAAGGTTGCTTGCTTTTGATCATAGTGCATTACCCGCATAATCAACTTCCTAATTGCCAGTTAGAGTCTCACGTTCCTCTGAAATTCTTACCTTCTACGCTTATCCGAAGCCGTCAAGTCTCCATCACACTTTCCTTTCAAGCTTCAACACTGCTCACAATTCACATTCACAGTCACAACAGCCTCTGCTTCTGCCAGCAAAGGGAAAATGGGTTTCTTTTTCGGGCTCGCGCTCGGAATAGTTGTGGGGCTCGCCGTGATTGTGGGGTTCGTTAAGTGCGAGAATGCGCGGTCCCAGCGCCGGTCTGAGCTGGCAGCGACGATTGCCGCTTTTGCGAGGATGACGGTGGAAGATTTCAGAAAGCTCTTACCTCCTCAGTACTGCCCTTCTTGGGTCGTCTTCTCTCACAGGCAGAAGTTGAGCTCAGCTTTCTTCAATACTTCTTGTTCACTGTTTTGCAGTTGTTCTGCTCCTTCCTTTGTATATTTTTCTTTAAATGCAATATTTTTCAAGGTTTTCACTGGATTGACGTTCCGATTTTCTTTTCTTCAGGTATCTTGGCTTAACGCACATCTTGCAAAGATCTGGCCCTATGTTAACGAGGTAACTTTTATGGGTGGAAATAATCAAGGGTTCAGTTGTATTTTTCACAAAAGTGACAAGAATCTCTTCAACCGCAATTTTAGGCTGCCTCCGAGCTAATAAAGACATCGGTGGAACCCGTTCTTGAACAATATAGACCCATTATTTTGGCCTCGCTTAAATTTTCCAAGTTTACTCTTGGTACCGTAGCACCCGAGTTTACAGGTCAGTTGAGTTCATTAATTAAATGACTGTGGATATAAATGAATCGATTCTTCCTGTAACCCTGCCAGTGATCCTCATCATCTTCCATTTCCTCTTGCTGAAAAGAGCATCTTCTTGGAATCCCATTCAGTCAAACTGCTCTCTGTGAGCTGCCTGTGATACGGGAAAGAAAACTTCATCGAGTAGTCTGTTTGGGACATTAATTTAAAGAACACCTGGCGAGAAATATATGTCAACGGTCATAATTCGCGTTTCCTTTCATTTCCTTGCTTTTAGATTCCTTTGTTGGGTTTAAAAGCATGATGATACGATCCAAAATATCTGTCGTTGTAGAGTAGTCGATAGAAAGACCAAATAGTGAGTATATTCATTCTGTGTGTATTCTTGACGCTTGATGGCATCTGTCTAGGTTATCTTACTCCGTTTTCTATTTATTTCTCTTCTGGTTTTTCACTTACGGAGTTGCTCGTTGAACTTGTAAGATATGAAACTGAACACTAAAGAGTCTGTATATTTGGTTGTTCGTCTATGCTTGCTTAAATGAAAACATGGTAATATGCATTTTCTTTTATCACGTTGCTGTGTTCCTAAGTTTTCCTGTTGAGGATTCCATCCCGAGGGTTCTGCCAGTTAGTGTTTTACATTTTATTGAAACATCTAATTTTGTTGACGTTGATCTTTAGGCGTGTCTATAATTGAGGATGAAGGGAGTGGTGTTACAATGGAATTGGAAATGCAGTGGGATGGGAATCAAAGTATTATACTTGATATTAACACTCTAGTTGGTGTTTCACTGCCAGTGCAGGTATTCAACTTACTTGATGTCTGAACCCTGTTTTACTAGTAGCTATTTGATTTCCTTCAAATGGTCTTGTTGATCTTGGTGTTGATTAGGGTTAAGTCATCTTCTTCATGTCTGGAGAAGTTGACAGCAGCTTTGAGTTACTAATTCATGACCTGCTCGTTATCTGTTTTACTCTATGCTAGTAGATTACTAAATCATGAGTTTCATATCTTCTACCTTTTCTGTTATTGTTTAATTTCATAAAGAATGGTGGAACTACTTGATATTGAATTCTTTCTGAATGCTGCCATTGATTTTGCGCATAACTAACATAGTCTGTTAGTTAGCTTTACTCCTGGAATGACTGAAGTTGATTTTTCTGTCTCACCTCCTTTGTTCAGGTAAAAAATATTGGATTTACAGGCGTTTTCAGGTTGATTTTTAAACCACTTGTTGATGAATTTCCTGGCTTTGGAGCTGTTAGTTTTTCTTTAAGGCAGAAGGTATCTTATCACTTTCTAATGTGATCCATTCCTACTTGTTTTAGTGCATCTACATGTGTATTAGGATTTCAGATCTAAGTGACATTGCATTTATTATTATTATGATTTGTTAGCTGAGCCTGGCTTGCACTTTTCTTTGTTCCGCCCTCATTATAAAATTGATTTACTTGTACACATGTAAGTTACCAATTATTAATTACTTGATTAAGAGTTGCAATAGAGTCTTGCCGGTGGGCTTGATCAAGAACGTTTGTTTTTCATCTTAGGAGTCATATTTGGAGCTGAGAATGAAGGAAGGTTTAGCAGTGAAATGCCCAAAGTGTTATTCTCAATAATTACAATGTCATTGCCACACCCAAGGAGGATGTTAACATCTATTTATTTGTAGAACGCTGAATAATCATACTTGATAATAATAAGGGGGGCTTCAAGACGAGCTATAGTTCCATAAGCATTAACAAGACTGTAAACACCTACTTCTATCCAATAACATTGATAGACAAAGGCAAGTTTGCCCAATGGAGAGGAAGTGTCTAAGCATAGCTCTTAGTAATAAGGCGAGCTTCAAGATGAGTTATAGTTCCGTCAGGATTAACCTTGATGGTAAACACCTATTTGTATCCAATAACTTTGCTTGCGAGCAAACTCACTGCTTCCATTACTGCTATTGTGGGATCAGGTAACTCCACCAAGTGTGTTATATCTTCATCATCTAAACAGACAATTTATTTTGGCGTCACAAATCACATTATACGTATCCCAAGTCTCTTTGACACCTTTCAGTCACATGCCTCCACCTCTTATCTTGCCATACCTGATTAATCAAAAAAAGGTATTCAAGTAATCACGAAACAAACTTAAATATATTGTCACAAAATAGGATTAGCAACACAGACCCACAATAAGAAGCCGGAAGAGTGCTCAAACAATACCAAAATGATTCTGAGCCACGCCTGGGTATTGGTTCAAAAAACAATACAAAGAAGCTAACAAATGCTATAATAGAGCCAGTACCCACCCCAGATTATTCCATTATTTCCATTTGCATGGCAGCAGTCTTTTTCCTCTCTGTACATTTCATCTCTCTTTCTCTCTCTTATGTGTGCAAATACACTTACACAAAGAGCACCTAATGTCCCGCTTTGACATTTTTTTGTGCATACAAGAATTGCATCCCATCTCATCTTTCATGAAGGCATCAAGTGCGTTCACATGATTCTGCAATTTAATCATTTAAAAAATATTTGACTTGCAGAAAAATTTGGATTTTACCCTAAAAGTTATTGGTGGTGATATATCAACAATCCCTGGACTATACGACGCAATTGAGGTTTGAGCAGCTACTTTTGTTTGTTAGTGATCACCCTTGTGCAGCTGCTTCCTTGTGCGGTTGATTCACCATGTGTTCTTATGACATCTCGCTATTTAAGAATATGTAATGGACATCATGATAAAGCATATGATTATTCTTGCAGTTTCTTTAAAATATCAATTGTGATAAATATGACGGGTAGAGTTTTGCTATGTTCCAAATTAGACCATTCATGCGATATGATTTTCATTAACAAAAGTATGGCTCTTTGGTCAGCTCAAGTAAATGCTGCACGTCATGTCGTTAATTTTGTCCAATTTATTTGACTCTTCTTTCGAAATCAATTGGCAATAATTTGGTATAGATCCTCCTACACTTGAATTTCCAACTCTGGCTTACCTTTTCTTTGGTCCGAGGGAAACAGATTCTTCTCATGTATTCATGCTATTGAGAGTTGCATCTGCGTTGTAATATATTAAATAAGAAAATATGGTGTAGTAACTTATTGTAAAAATATGCAAACTGAGTTTTTTTTTTTTTTTTGTGTAAACAATTTCTAGGTTTTACAAGTTTCTTGCTTTATTACTTCAATTGTACCACACTTTATTGTTTTTTCCCTACCTTTTATGATTTCTTTTTTGGGGGAGGATGCCGTTGCATTTGGATTCTTCTTATTGTGGTGTATAAAAGAACAGTTGGCAGATCTTATTAATCCCTATTTTTTTTGTTTGTCTTTTTGTCCACTTCAACCCCTACAAGTCATTGATGATATAGTCAGAGGTCAAAAACCCATATTTTGTAAGTAGTAATTTGGGATGTTAAATTACTGCAGGGGACAATTCGGGATGCTGTTGAAGATTCTATCACATGGCCTGTGAGAAAAGTTATACCTATCCTGCCTGGAGATTACGAGTATGTAAATAACTTGACGAGGATTAAGATGCCTTTGCTATATTACTAATGCTTTGTTACTTCCGGGAACCACTTTTTGCTGATTGCATTATTGTATTGCTACTTTCTAGGTGGATTTTCAAAAATAATAAACTGCAAATGTTTGAATCATTCTCTTTCCTAGTGGAATTAGGATCATCTTGGGATTTAATATGATCAATAAGTACTAATGAATACAAATAAACTTTAACCAAGATGTTGCGTCTCTTCTAATGTATGTCAATTACGGTTCTACCATATTATCACATATGAATTGAAGAAGACGTAAAAATTCTTGAACGAGGGATTGCTGCTTGAAATTTGTTTCTTCATGTTGCTTAGCATCAAAACCTAAGTTTACACCCATTAATCAGTTGATTTGGCAGTAGCTTCAATTTAAGTGGCTTCTATATCATTACTTTGTTAACTTGATTGTTGTGGCTGACTTGGGGATTATTTTTTCTATTGGGTATTGCTGGTTGTGTTGAAGATTCAAGGTAACAAAATTAACAGTGTTATCTTATTCAGTGATCTAGAGTTAAAGCCCGAGGGAGTATTAGAAGTGAAGCTTGTGCAGGCGAAGGAGCTGACAAACAAGGATATAATTGGTAAATCAGATCCATATGCTGAACTATATATTCGACCGTTACGTGACAGAATAAAAACTAGCAAGACAATAGTAAGTTTTTTCCCTTCCTTCCCCTCCTCATCTATAGCTTGCCAATTCTAGTAGAAATAACGTGGTTTTGTTTTTCCATTTCAGAACAACGACTTGAATCCTATTTGGAATGAACACTTTGAATTTATTGTAGAAGATGCATCCACTCAGCACTTAGTGGTCAAAGTTTTTGATGCTGAGGGTTTACAGTCCGCTGATTTGATTGGGTGTGCTCGTATTAGTCTTAGTGAACTCCAGCCTGGTAAAGTTAAAGATGTGTGGTTGAACCTGGTGAAGGATTTGGAGGTCCAAAGAGATAACAAGAACAGAGGACAGGTGAGAAAGCTATCTTGTACTTGGATACAGTATTCTTGGTTAAGTTGGATTTTACTTTATTTTTTATTTTCTCATTTAGAGTCTGGAGGTCATTTGAAAAGGTAGGTAGCGTAGCAGATATTTCGGATTTTTTTTTTGGGGCCTTTTTAGTGATAAATACACTTTGATGGAAATCTTGTTATTTTCTTCTGTGACACCTAGCTTCCCTGAATGTTGTGTAAGTGGCAAACATTAAAGTTACCATGACACAATTGCAAGAGCAGCACAGGGTTCACACCAGCCTTGTCAGTTGTCACTAAGGCTGAAGAAACAAATATGTGATACATAAATTCTTTTTTTCTGCAACAAGCATGTTACATTACTTGCGTCATTTATGATCTGTTCTCCTTGTTTCAATATGGTTTTAAAATGCTTTAGAATCAGCTGCTTTTTAGTAGAATTCAAGTTAAAACTCATTTTAGGTGTTGGAATAAAAAATCACTTGGGGTCACATTAAAAGGGCATGAAAGGCCTAACGCTTGAATTCCTGTAATACCATTACTCATCGCTTGTTCGGTCAAACTTATTATTTCTGTCCAAGATTCATTGGATATGCACGTGATATCACTCTTAGTGGTTGCATTTGCTCCGCGGTTCAGAAGTCTAATTGTCAACATACGATCATATATTCATTTCTTGGTTTGCTAATTGTTATCAGTGACAGAGTTCCATCCTATATGTGTTTAATGTAATACAGACACGTGCTTATTGTATTAATTGTTGTTTTTTTTTCCTTATAGGTACATTTAGAACTTCTGTATTATCCTTTTGGCAGAGAGAATGGATTTTCCAATCCTTTTGCTCCCGACAATATGACATCCTTGGAAAAGCTTCTTGAAAGTTCAGCGAAGGGAATTGAAGTTCCTGATAATGAAAATACTTTTGCACAAAAGAGAAAGGAGGTTATTGTTAGGGGTGTCCTTTCTGTTACTGTAATATCTGCTGAAGACTTGCCTCCTGCAGATATGATGGGGAAAGCTGATCCTTATGTTGTTCTCATCATGAAGAAAACAGAAAATAAAAATAAAACCAGGGTATGATTTGGTGGGCCTAGAAACCAAGACTGGAATGTATTTTGTTAGTTTTGATAATCTTAGGGATGGACTATCAATTGTTATTTTAAGACTTCGCTTCTGCATATTTTTTTCTTCATTCCTGGGTTGGTTGAAGGACATCAGGGAGGACCTGTTTGTTTTTATTGCATGTGGCATGCTGGTTTTTAATTCTGTGACTAATCTGCAACAGATTATGACATGGCCCATGGGTTGTTGATATTGCAGGTTGTTAATGACAACTTGAATCCTGTTTGGAATCAAACATTTGACTTTGTTGTTGAGGATGGATTGCATGATATGCTAATTGTTGAAGTTTGGGATCACGACACATTCGGAAAGGTATAAATTTTTGCCTTGCTTATTAACAAGCTAGTTTGTCTTAATTTTCTTGATGACAGGCAATTATATTTATTAATTATCTTCACACACACACACACACACACACACACACGCAGAGAGGTTACACACAGATTAGTTCTTATCTATGAATATGAAGATCATCCCTATAAAATTTGACAGGAGACCCAAATTGTCTAGTGTCCCATCAGTGAATCTAATTGACCAAGCCTGTTTTATTTTAAATATAAGAATATTAGGGCTATTGTATACTTGTGGTTTTTCTTATTTTCTAAAATTTGACATGAAAAGTGAACATTCTAATTTTTTTCTAATTCAAGATTTGGATAAATGAAGATAACAGCATACGATCTGATTAAATATTAAGAACGTCTACTCTTATAGTTATTAAAAATTGAGATATTCTTAGGTATTGCCATTATAGTTATGGAACACTTAAGCTTGTCAGAAATGGAACCTACTGAAAAATGTGTGATATAAATGCATGCCTGTTTATGATTAGTTTGAATTACCGGTCTTCCTCGTTCCTATAAACCATAATTCTGGTGTCTCCATGCAGGATTATATGGGCAGATGCATAATGACGCTTACTAGGGTCATACTGGAGGGGGAAGTGAAAGATCGTTATCAACTAGATGGTGCTAAATCTGGCTACTTGAATTTGCAACTCAAGTGGCTGCCACAACCAATTTATCGTGATCATTGAGTTTCATTTTATCCCAGACATGTGATAAATTGATAGATAGAATTGTGCATGCTAGAAGGTATTCTATGATGATATCAAGATATTATATAACTTTGAAAGGCGTGAATGACAATGTGAACACTGTTCTTGAAGCAAGATTTGCCCTTTATTTTTGCTGCAGGGTACAAAACCATGATGGTTCATAATCAATGAATATAATGTTTCAGATTCAATGAACATGGTGATTTAGGATGAACATGGTGTCTGAACATCATTTCTTGATAAACGATATATAATCAAGACGCCTTTATCATCTCTGATCTCTTTCATTGAAACATTATTTCATTAATTGCAGAATAGAATTCTCTATAGGTCTTGGATCAATCCTAGGTTCAAATTTGCTTGAACTCTGCAGCAATGATAGAGAACAAATCTTAAAAATATACTGACATTCACATATTTCAAAGCCATCTTTTTGTTTTTTTCCGTCATTGTTTTGTTTTTGTAGCCCTATTTCCTATCAGTGCATGTGTGGACCATGGCACCGGCCCCATGGTGCTCCTTGTTTCTTGAACGCAGAGAACTACAATAAGCCAATCATGTACATAATTGTTTTATTGTATCAGACGTGATGAAGATAGAAGATTAGAAGACCTCCAGATGAGTTTAATCCTTTTTCAATCTTGATTGTTATTGAATGTCCTTTTCTGACTGCCCTCTAGTTGTCAAGAACTCTGAACCGAAGTTGCCTTGTTATGGTTGTGGGTTGATAAATGGAGTGAGAATAAGAGATTTAGGAAAAATAGTGTATTCCGCTCTCCTATTGTCTTATTTATAGTCGGATGTACAAGACAGAATTAATGAATAATAATTATACTTTTATCGTCCTGGTCATAGTCTATGCAAAGCCTGCATGTGGCATTACTTAAACCATCTCTCATTAGATTCAAATTTTTGAATTCTTTTGCCATTTTGGGTTTGTTTAAATGATAAATATATCTTTTCCCATTTTATTTTTAGTTAATATATTCTCTTTCTTTCTTTCTTTTTTTTTCATATATTGTCTCTCATTCCCCCCCCCTCATTCTTACCTCCTTATCAATAAAGCATAAAGTATACATTTGGTTCGCCAATATTTTATTTGGATCTTTTGATTTTAAGAAGTATATTTTTTTTTTTGGTATATATTTTTAGTCCTTTGATCTTATGTTAGTCTTGAATAATTTTTTTTAATAATTATGGTTATTTTGAAAATTAACTTTAATATGTTAGTATTTGAAAATGTTTTATCAATATTTAAGATTTTAATATTATTATTTTTTATTGACAATTTTAGGATTAAAAGACTAGAAATATATTTTATAAAATTAAGGAATTAAATTGAAATTATGTGTAAAGTTAAAAGACTAAAAGGATATTTAAGTTCAAATGGGAAAGTACACTTCTTACATATTTATTACTCTTAATTAACTTTGAGAGTTTTTTCAAATCATGTAATTTGGTTCTTTAGACTTTATAATAAGGGAGGGAGAGAGTATTATGTGTGGCATGCTTAATATCTAGGGTAGTAGTTCGTGAGTATGGAGCCAAAAGAAAGCTTGGTTTCATCTTGATGGCAGTCAGGCGGAGGGATAAATTTTTGTTTTCCTCCTACAAAATAGTTACTTAATTTAGATAAATTAAGAAAGTTAAATAAATAATTTAATTAACTTCTCTAAAATACTCATGTAACATTAAATTATGTGTGTGTATCAATTTCTTAGATAAGTTAGTTTTTTTGAAAGACGATAAATATGATAACAAAATAAATTAAAATGTTGCATTTTGGATCAAAATTATCTCTTAAATTAGCTTCTGTATGTAGAGTTAGAAGGGTACACAAAAAAATCTATGTATCAAAAAAAGAAAAAGAAGTATGAAAGAAAATCTCAGTTGCACGATCAATAAATATTGGGTTTAACAGAAGAGGCTAGTTCTTCACAATGTAGTGAACGAAAACTTAAATTCCTTTTAGGAGAGATGCCTATATTTAATACTGGATAGTGTTTCGAATAATATCGTCTCCAATAAAAAAAATACATGTGCCTGAAAAAATCTTAGTTGCACAACATGCATTGTGTGATTATTACTTATTTGTCTTAAAATTTTTTATTGGAGAGTCTACAAACTAGCCCAAGGCATAATCTCCATGCATGTTTGTCATCAAGAGTACCAATTAGGGCCTGTCCGCTTGTGATGAAGACCAACAATCTCTTGAAAATAATGAGACCCTTCTCTTTTTTTTGGGACAACAAATAGAAGACTAGTCAGTGCTCTAACTAAACAAGGTTCTTACGTTTACACATTAAAAAAGAAAGTGACAAAATATAGCTGTTTATTAAGTTCAAAGCCAATCATTTTTTGCCCTACCCAACAAAACTGACAATTCTGATAACATTTTTCTTTGCAATTTACCATTACATTGCATTAAAAATTTCTCGCACTATGTCATATTTCAACATTTTGATCTCATCCACCTAACTTTTTGCTCCATATCTCTCATAAATCAGACAGTTGAGGATTTTTTTAAAAAAAAAAATTATCGAAACACCCTGAGAGGCATGGGATTTGTGAGGGACATTCCACTTCTTTTAGTGATTTTTTTTTCAATTGTTTACAATGGCAAAAAAAAATTACTTGTGCATATTAAAAACCCTCGAATTTACACAGACAATTGAAAAGATTATTCCATGCCTTGAAAAAGAAAACTCCAGGTGTTTATTATATAACAGAATCATAAATAAAATTTATCATCAAAGTAGCATGATAGGGCTCAACTGTAAGAATGTCTATAAGTGGCATTTATATTAAAATAATAATGTAATTGTGATCGTATTGGTAATAATGAATTGTGTGCATCTATATGTACACCTATATAAGATAGCAAAAATATATATATGTACATTTATAAATGTGTGTAACAAATGAATATTAAGTTTTAATATTTAATTATCCCTTTCGTATATTTCTGATATGTGTAAGAAGTCATTTTCAATTTAAAAATCAAAACAATTCATAATTAAAACTGAAACTATTAAATAATCCTCCAGTCCATAATATAAGACCCAATTATTGAGTTGGTTTTGGGCTTAAATATAAGATCCATTTATCATATTTATTAATTTTCTCTAAATTACTCCTATAGATACTCCTTCAACCATAATCAAGTAGAAGAAAAAGAGAAGGTATTAAGAAAGACGATTATGGTATTTTAGAAAAAACGTGTCACATTTCTTATAATTAACTAACTTACCTAATTTTCTTAATCTAATCAAATTCGTTAAATGGTTTTTATATTAAGGATTAGAGGAGTGCTAAATTTCAGAGTCCTCAAAATTTTTACGTAGTCATTAAAGTCAAACTAAGTTTTTCTTTCTTCAATAATACAACTAAATTTTACTTGTGAAACTTTGCTCTAGATATAAACCGTTAAATTGCCAAACAATACTTTGAAATAAGACAAAATCTCAAGTGAAATTCAGTAAAATCTCGAGAGATAGCGCCATTCACTACAAGGAAAAGAGATGAGAGCATGCTTTTCTACAAGCAACTAAATACACTACCTTTATAACGTATGTCATACTCCTCTTGTCCTATTTATAGGATAGAGGGAGAAGACATTTTTTGATCCCATGTATAGGGGATTAAGAAATTTTTTTTTATACAAATGTACAATTTTGCCTTTCATTTATTATTATGTTAACTTTATTTACATAAGGTATAATGTATAATTAAATAGGGATAAAGTTGAAAAGTTGTTGAATTTTAAATGAGATTTAATAAAATTTAAAGTTTTTCTTGATTTGTATAAAACATGTTAGAAGTAATTAAAAATATGACCAAAGGAGTATTTCAACTTTTTAGACAAATCAACAAAACAAGAAAAAAGGAAACAGAACAAACCTTCCCTTTGCTTGACTCTATAGTCATTACATTATTTTACTCCATATAAAGCTCAAAGGCCTCAACTATACGATCACTTGTTATTAACAACCATTATACTTCCCAAAACAGGCTTCTTTCTCAAGCATGGAGAGAGAAAATTTTGGCGTAACCTTTTCAAAGAATCATGAATATGAGCATTTCTAACCTTCCTCGGGAAAATATGTCCATGTCCAAGTCTTGGATGGAGATTGGTTCACAACATCAATTTTTTCCTTGAACAAAAGCTCATAGCTACCATAGGCAAAACTCACCCCACGTCCGTTGTTTGCTTACCAAACTTCTCAGTCGCCTTTCTACGTAGCAGCATCTTGAAAATCGAGAAAACTGCAACAAGGGCAATTTGTAAATGCTCAGAGCTACTTGTCTTTATACATATCTGCCCCATTTTGTGATTATTGAGACTAGCACTAACAGATGCTTTGATGCTTCGATTCAGCCTAAACTCAGATTTTAAGCTTCCACTCAACACCGTCTCCTTATTGAGGGAAAGGACAGTCATTTTCAGACTAAAATTGTCGTTTCTAATTGGATAATCTCGTCCTCGTACGGCAGCTTCAAAAGTACCACCGTATGCCACTTGTCCAGCACCCACCATTTGTCCGGCATTCATGACAAATTTTAGACGTTTCCCGATCAACATAGTGTCCTCAATTTTTGCACCCAGATAATGCTTCTTTGCATAAGAGGTTATGCAAAATCCACATTCAGCAATATTGTGCTTTATGCTTCTAAACTTGGTGTTGCTATGAACTGTACACACCAAGTCTCTATCAGCAGATTGAACATCAACACCTATGGAATAAGTAGGGCCCTTAGGTTTAACATAAGTCGCCGAACACTCGGATTGAATACTAAAATCCTGCTTGTCCTTATTCATCTGTCCTGTAACCACGGCAAATACATCCTTCTTTAGTTTTGTGGCTATCTCCAAATTTATACCATCAAAGCCCACATCATGATCCCATCCATGGCCATTAAGAACAGGTCTAGAAAGAGATTGATCAGTCATCACAAGGCAGCGGTATCTATGAAGAGGCCAGCCTGAATCAAAACTTGGAGGAAGATCCATATCTGGTAATAGAACAGGCTCTGGAGACGCCTGCTGATCATCAGGATGCTCACTATCAGACAAATTTTGTTCTTTTAGTAACATTTCCTCTCTGCGCCTACGAGAGTCCTCTTTCAAATGTTTCTTTAGGTAAAGAGTCTCCCTGTAATCTAGCTCATCCAGATACTCCTTTTTTTGCAACTTGGACAACTTTCCAAATTGTGCTTTTGACAAGATTCGAATAGGTGGTAATTGATCGTATTCATCTTCTTCCTCTATATCTGAGAGTAAAATTTCATCAGTTTCATGGTCCATTCCACTTGGATTGGATACTGAGCGGTTCAAAAGGGCTGACACTAGATGGGGCAGAGAAGGTATTCGAGCACCACGTCCTGGCCCCAGTTCCACAGTGTCTTGAAATTTAAGGAGGAAATTGACATCACCCAAAACTTTGGTGCAAATGCAACATAACAAGAGTTGAGATACCCAAACCTGTCCATTTGGAAGACTTTTCTCTCCCATAAAATTTCTGGGACACTGGGGATGGTTCTCAACCAAAAGGACAGGGTTTTCAAGTCTTGTATCAGACAGTGCCTGATTTATATTATGCTGCATTAAGTCAGTACATTGAGAAACAAATGAATCAAAATTAACAATCTTTCCATCATGTCCTTCCAGAATTGCCGAGGAAGAATGAGTCATGACAAGGATGGTGTTGAACCAGATTGCTGAGCCAAATACTTCAGTTATTAGCCTCAAAAGGGGAGTGTCACTATAGCCAGCATTTATAAAATCCAGTCGTTCAAAGTACAAAACAACATCAGGAGGGGATTTCCGAATAAATCTTTTTATAGAATGCAGGATCCTCTTATTTCTCTTTACATTACAAGTAGAAGAAGGCAGGAGACCAGGAGTATCAATAACTCTTACTGTAATCCCATTGAGTGTTCCCACAAATTCTTGGATGCAATTAGTAGCAGGTTGAAATGCATCAGTGACGGTTTTTGTTTCATCAAATATAGAATTGATGGTAGCACTTTTACCAACTCCGGTTCTTCCCAGAACAAGTATTGTGCAGGAGAAATCCAATTCAGGCAGACCAGATGACTCCTGCTGGGTTGCAATTTCTTGTGCTCTCTTGCTGCTGTGGATGACTCTTTTCAGATCTGATTCCTCAGCACAAATTACAGTTGCCAAGTGCATCCGATAAAGAACCTTTGCAACAAAGAGATTTTCCTCTGACTGGCCAAAGCGCTGAAGCAGGCGGAAGAATTTAACTTGGAGGTCCTCAATCTTTGCCAAAGGATCCTTCCGTCTTCCATTGGTGCTATGTTGATATTGGCGAAGTGCCGTACCTGAAAGCTGATGTGGAGTGCTAGTATGCTGACTGCTCTGATTACCACTAGATAAGTCTAACAAATTAGAAGGATCTGGTGACACTATCAAGCTAGCTGAGTGGGCTGAACCTAACAAAACAGAATATTTATAACCACGAACCTCAATTTGTAACATAGCATATATTTTTTCTTTTTACTTGATAATCAGCAGCAGACATTTCGTTCAACCAAAAAACCAGAGAGTGATGTCAGCATTTATAACAGATCCTTAAGTATGGAATTAAGCATTAGTTGCTCTGGTTACTCTCCATCAAGATATCAACTTTAGATAGAAACAGAATGACATGGTCTTTAGAGCATCGTCAGAAGATGTAAGGAAGTTCACACCCACTATAATTGTAAGAAAATGTAAACATCCTTTTTACTTTTCTTTGTTGAAACAAGGAAAGGGGGTCCTCTAGTTCTCTATACACCAGAAACTGGTGCCAATCATTCATAAATTGAAGTAGATAGTAGTTTAAGAGGTAGCCCAGCTGCTTGATTTAAATTTAACATGTCAACTAGAATTTATATGAATAATTTTAATTTACTAACCAAGTAAGGCTACTCTTCCAAACCTCTCCAAGGGGTGGCCCAAGCAATCATGTCCTACTACCAGCCAAAAGCTGGCACATGAAGTATATATAAAACTGTGCTATTAGATGAATGATACTCAATTCTATATAATCTGTCAGATCACTTAAGTAGTGATCAGACAAGTTTAATGGAAAAAAATGACAAAAAAAGATGATAGATCTGATATTATTCATTATATTTATCCACCCACCCCAATCAGTGGACGGGGAAAGCCGCAGGGGAACATTCTTTCTTTAGTGATATAATTGCATTTTCAGTAATTCTAATCAGGAAATAGAGTCAGGGTTGAACCTTGATCAACATGCTCTTCACCCTGATGTCCCTCATCATAGAAATTACCACTGCCTGATATCGGCCCAGATGAGACCAGTGACTTGTACAGTAACTGAGAGAAAACCCAATCTCTAACAGTTTTCATCCTTCAGCAAAATAAGAAAAGGAATGCAATCAAATCATTTAAAGGCATGGTAGCAATAATGTCTCAAAACAAATAAGAAACATCAACACTAAATATTTATGGCATGTGACCAAGAACTCAGCAAAATGATCATTAGCATCCGCTCCACAACCAGTTGTTCACACACACACACACACACACACACACACCCCCATTTATTACCAATCTCAAAAGGGGAAAAAAAAAAAGAAGTCACATTGATCCAAAAAACAGGGTAAAACACAGAAAACAATGTTTTATATAGTTTACATCTGTGAGAAACATGTGAATCTAAAAGGTCAAATAACTGGAGAAAGTTTCTCAAAGGAACCTCAATTGAATTGCTTCTTCATTTTAAGGATCCAATCAATATGTAATTGTAAACCATCCTAAGACTTAATAACATTTTAAGGACAAGTAAGGCACCAGTAGTAGTAGTAGTAGTTGTTGTAAGGGACAGTCAGATGACCGTAATTGGCATGAAAATGAGCTAAACCGACAGTAAAGAACAGAAACAATTTGACATGAATAATCAAGCATATGAATATCACAGAGGTAGCGTATTTGTCCACTACCTACAAAGCATAACGATTACCAACTATTAATCAGAAGAAATTAAAAAAGCAAAAAGAAAAAGCTTACCCAAAGATATTCTAGTGGGTTGCTTCAATTTTTGAGCATCAAGTGACAACAGGCTTTGAGGAATATGCTGTTAAAAAAAAAAATCCCTCGAAGGACCACACCAAATCATTTTAATTTGTGTTTCTCGAGAATTATGAGAAAAAGATGACTCAACTAAACTAAGAGACATCTGAACCCTCATAAGGCAATAAAACAGAACCAAAAAAAAGTTCCAAAACCCTAGTTGTATGATGAATTCAGCGAAAATCCCAAGCCCAGATGAATGGGAACTAGCAAATTCCGAAACGACCCAATTCAAAGTGTCAAAACAACGGAAAGTAAGACCAGGGATTGTTGACCTTGACCAGCATGAGGTAGATGAAGACTATGGGATTAGTCAAAGACAAGCACTTTCACCTACCCTCTTGCCTTTCTTTCTTGAATAGCCACATTTTGCGCTTCAAGGCTTACGCTGCAAAATGAGAAGAACGTGATCCTTTTTAGCCCCAAAGATATGGACCTGCTCTGTTCATGGGGCGGTCGGAGGGAACCTGCGTAAGCAGATGATCTTTTTCCCCAGTGAAACGAGTTCAATTTTTTTCCTTTTGAAAATTCATTAGAAATTCTTTCAACTTAGAAAATTAGCCCGTGCTTCGGATGGGGGGGTGTAGCATAGGGTTATTACTTATTAGGTAATTACGTTGCATCTGAAAATGTATATAATTATTAGATAGAAGTATACATTTCATCTTGTAACTTTATATAAAATTTCATTTTCATCCCTTAATTTAAAAATATACTCCTCCGGTCCTAAATAAGACCCTTATACACACTAGTATAAGGGTCTTACATTTAAGACCGGAGGAGTATATTTTTATTTTTTTTATAACAATTATGATTATTTTGTACCGCTCCATTTTAAAGTTTTTTTTTTTAACCAGCAAATAGTTGCTTTTTATAATAAGAGTGGGGAATAGTATACATAGGATGTAATCCATATGTTCCCTTCATCCATATTATACGGAACATATTTTTTCGGTCTTGTTTTATATACATAGTTTTTTAAAAAAATAATTATCTACATTATAATAAATGAAATACAAAATAATATATTCATGTTAAAAATTAATAAGGTGCTCCTCCGATCCTTAATATAAGACCTTATTGTTAAATTAATTTTGGTCATAAATATGAAACTTATTTCTCCTATTTACCAATTTTTCTTAAATTACTCGATGAATACTCCCTCAACTATAATCAAGTAAGTGAGGGAGAGATTATATTAAAAAAGATGATTATGATATTTTAGAAAAAAATATGTTATATTTCTCATAATTAACTACCTTATCTAATTTTCTTAATTTAATCAAGTTGATTAAATAAGTCTTATATTAAGGATTAGAAGAGTAACTCATAAAAAAAAAAAAAACTTGATCTCTTTTAACTTATAAATATGGCCAAATGAGTATTTTGTTTGTAACCTTATCTTTTATCCTCCCTAAATCTTCTTTTACTCTTATTAAGTTATTTATATTTCATTAGTTTTATATTAGGTTATATGCACAACTTACTCCCAAAATTATATAAGGGGTAAGGACTATGAGTTTCTTATTACTTATCACATTATTATGGTATGGTTAAAATTCTATCCGTGGCTCTGAGGTATTATCCAACTCATTCGGATAATTATAATAAAGGGAATGATAATCTTGTAATCTTAAAAAGGATGTATTTATTTGTTCTAAACAATTCATGCATAAGTGGAATTTTTAATTTTTCCCATTAAGATATGAGAAATTTACTCTTATCATTACTTTCTATTTCTATTCATATATTTCAAGTTTATATCAACATTTATTGTTGTCTATTTTTTCTCCCAACTATTTTTTTTTTGGCCAACTTTGCCAACCATTTATTCTGATCAATTATATGTATCAATTGGTATAAACTCACTTATGACATAAAAAATGATATAAACTGACTAATATGCTGGAAAACAACATATTAGATACAATGTGAAAAGATGGATAGCCAAAAATCATGTTATCAAAGCCATAGAATGATATAAAGTTTGTAGTATTTTGATGGGTATATTTGTAATTTGGTTGTCATAGATATTATAGCCCTAAAAGCTTAATCTTTTATCTCGCCACATAACCAAGGGGGAAAGAAGAGGAAAAGGTCTTTAGTCTTGGCTTTAGAACTTTCAAAAGTTTGAATTTTTTTTCAGTTTACAAAAAATTTAGATGAGTTAAGTTTCGAGAAGATTTAAACCCACAATATATAAATATATAAATATATAAATATATATATATATATATAAAATAAGCAAATTCTTTAAAAACTAGCTCTATTTGCAAGAAGTTAGAACATAGCATTATTATCATAAAGATTTGTTGGGAGCTCTCCACTAAACCCAACGGGGAGTCTGTGTTGAGACTCTCTGAGTGCAAATGCACCAAACCCATTATCGAGTTGAGTAGCTCCTCTTCCACTTGGAATAATTTATGTAAACACTATTATATAAAAAGTCATATTTAACTAACAAGAGGTATATCTAGTAGAAAGGACTAGTTATCCAGAATATGGTGAGCCAATATTTAAATTTTTGTTAGGTGTCTACATTTAGTGCCTAACAATGCCTCAAATAGGATTGCCTTCAATAAGATAATACCTATGATAGTTAAAAAAAAAAAAAAAAGGTCACATTTATGATTATTTTTGGTCTCACTTTATTAGTCAAGTATGCACGCATTATTTAAACTTTAAGCACACACTTCGATAATTCTTAATTGTCAAATAAGTGTTAAGATATTTGAAAGTTGTTTAATAATGCCAGTCAAAATTTGAACTTTGGTTTCACACTTTATGAGGGATTAGTCTTTTCTATTAGAGTTAATCCTTATTGCCCAAAAGCTCAAGCTTTGCTTCGCCAGCGATAATCAAGAACTCCCGACATTATTGAAGAAAGAAACGAGGCCCAACATAACTGCCATAAAAGAGATATGGAAAAATGGCCCATAGTAAAATATTTAAGATAGCCCAACTAGTAGCTGAAAACAAAATTGAGCCTCACAGATCAGGAAATTGTATAATTTCGAATATGGCTTTGCCACGTCAACGGGCATTCCTTAATGTAAATATTACCCATAGGTAGCACTTAAAAGTATAAGCGCCACCTGGGACCTTTTAATTTGTAGCTTTTCAACTTCTTATCATTATGGTCTCATGTGCCAAGTATAAAACGTACGTATTTATATACTGGGTTTTGTGACCAGAATGACATTATACTTTTTTTTAAGGCTTTTTTTTATAAAAAAATATAAGGTTATGAATTCAAACTCTTACAATGTGCACATAAGTTATGACAAAAAAAAAACGATATATATGTATGTATATTGTATTTCTACACATAAATTATTCAAGGGTAACTGTCAAATTATACTTAATTAATATATAATAATAAAGATATAATAAATCCCATATTTCATACTACTGCCAGCCTTTAATATAAAAATTAATTTGATATTTAATTTGATCATAAATATATGATCTCAATCCACTTTGTCACTCATATTTATTCATTTTTTTAAGACAATCTTTACATTAGTTGCACATATTAGAGATTTTATTAAATAGTAGTTTTACCTAATACATATCATTAGCAATGGTATTTTGAGAAAGATAACACCTATTTATTATAAAAGGTTAATATAAGTTTTGGTCCCTCAAGTTTGCCCTCATTTTAGTTTTAGTCTCTTAAGTTTCAAATGATAGGTTTTGGTCCCTTGAGTTTTCTTTCATTTAAAATATTGATCCCTATAATTCAATAAAAACTTGATTAATGCATATGATTAAAACGAGTATTTTGGGAAAGACAATACCTATTTATTATAAATAACTAATTTTATTATTTTTTTAATTTACTCAAATTAGTCAACTTGCTCTTATATTAAGAATATAAGGTGGTAATTTATTGTTTTTGACTATGGTTGGCTTTTTCTCATTGATATACTGTAAATAGTTATTTAAAAAAACACACACACTGAAATATTACATTATGAAAATTATTCATCTAAATGCTACACTTGAAATTGTTCATCACTCTTTGAACCAATTAAAATTTGTATAAAAACTATGCACCCTAAAAATGATTTTAACTATTCATTAGATATGCCAATTGTGATTGTTCATCTTAAAAATGATTTTAACCCTTTATCAGATATTGAATAGTGGTGGTTCAAACTCAGGATGTGTCCATGTTATTACTACATGTCCATCATTATGATCTACCATGTCATCCCTCGTCTCACATCGTCACCATGTGTCCATTATTATGAGCTATCACGTTATTGTCTTGTCCATGTCATTGCCACATCACATATTGAATAGTGGCGGTTTAAACTCAGGATCACCTACATGCTGAAGCCTTTACTAATTAAGCTGAGAAATACCTGCGAAGTTTTTGTGCAAATATATAATATTTCTAATTACAATACAGATATATATAATAAATATTATATATAATTTAATATATATTACATAATTTAATATATTATTCATTTCAATTTAATTTTTGTATTTTATTAAAAATAACTAATCATTAATATTTTTATTCAAATATTAAATAAAAATTTAAAAAAATGATAGGGGTTCTGGTTTCCCCAGCATGGTTCTTTTTATTAATTCTTCCCATTGGCCTCACAAAACTAGAGAACCTGTCCTGACTATCCCGATGCTGGCTCTTCTCTACCTCTTAGGTCCTACAGGCTGCTATCCTAAGTTTTGAGCAGGCATCCTTGAAACTCTTAAACTCATATAAGGTCATTTGCTGCTTCAACTCAGGTCTCACCCATTCTATTAATTGTCGGGCCATCCATTATGGGTTATCTTTCTGTTACAAGTAGGTAACATGCTTGGAGAGGTCAATATACTTGCAACAAACTCATACTCATACATGTTCTCCTATCGAAGAGCATAAAAAGCTATTTCTGTTTTTTTTTGTCTCATGGTTAGGGGAAAATAGTGATCAAAGAACATCTGCTTGAATTCTATCCAAGTAACCCCTGAGTCACCTATGCCGCTTACGCCCCTCTACTACCTCTTAGTTCGGTCCCTCAATAAGTCTATCGCTGCTTGTACCTTTTGATAGGTATTACAGTTACAAGCTTTGAATATTGTCTTCATGTCATCAATCCAAGCCTCAGCTTTATCAGGATTCATACTCCCATCAAAAGTCTTTGGGTGATGCCGCTCTTCTAACAAGCCAAATTATTTATTTACATCCTCTAGATTATTTACTTTAATAAAAAGAATTTTTTTTTCAAAATTTCTAAATATGAAATTATTA